GATACAAAAACACCTTATGGAACAGCGGGGACTGTGAAGCAACACAAACATAGGCACAGACACATGCACACACACACACAATAACATACGCACTATACACACACGCACACATGGATTTTGTGTTGTAGATATGTGGTAGTGGAGTAGGGGCCTGAGGGCACACAGTGTGTTGTGAAATCTGTTGTGAATGTATTGTAATGTTTTTTTTTAAAAAGTATAACTGCCTTAATTTTGCTGGGCCCCAGGAATGGGGATCCATAATAAATACAAATACTCAACCTACAACAACCTGAACTCAATTTCAAATTGCTGAGGCAAATATTAACCTATCTGGTATTCTCAGGGCATCAATGGAACACGTAGAGCACTCAGATGGTGGAAAATCAATTGAAAGTCTGCCTCCATAAATGTAGTGCATGGCCAGCAATATATTGACAGGAGCCCTTCAGCCCAGGGCTGGAATCTGCGTGCTGTGGTCTATTAATAAAGCTAGGATTTGATTAGAGCTGATGTAGTCTGAACTGGAGCAAGCAAACAGTGGAACGAATGCTGTAGTGTACACTATGTACTCTCTAGTGTGTTGCTGTAGTGTACACTAAAGTAGTGCAGTCCCCTCCACCCTTTTCAAGAAAGTAGTCTAACAAAGAAAGAAACAAAAATATCATGATGTATGACCACTACATAATCTGACCACTACATAATCTGACCACAACATAATCTGACCACTGAGAGATGTATGACCACAACATAATCTGACCACAACATAATCTGACCACTGAGAGATGTATGACCACAACATAATCTGACCACTACATAATCTGTCCACTGAGAGATGTATGACCACTGAGAGATACAGAATATAGTATAATATGTATAGGACATATCTATAGTATAATATGTATCGGACATATCTATAGTATAATATGTATCGGACATATCTATAGTATAATATGTATAGGACATATCTATATATGTATAGGACATATCTATATATCTATAGGACATATCTATAGGACATATCAGTAGTAACTTGTGCAGACAGATCAGTACAATAGGCTGGACAGACACACAGGACATCCAGTCTTAAATTAGGGAACAGCAACAGGACAAGTCATTGGACATCCAGTCTTAAATTAGGGAACAGCAACAGGACAAGTCATTGGACATCCAGTCTTAAATTAGGGAACAGCAACAGGACAAGTCATTGGACATCCAGTCTTAAATTAGGGAACAGCAACAGGACAAGTCATTGGACATCCAGTCTTAAATTAGGGGAACAGCAACAGGACAAGTCATTGGACATCCAGTCTTAAATTAGGGAACAGCAACAGGACAAGTCATTGGACATCCAGTCTTAAATTAGGGGAACAGCAACAGGACATCCAGCCTCCTCTATCTAACAGTCTACTACAGACTTCACCTGGAACTCTCATCTGGTCTATCAACGATGCAAATATCAAGTAGCCTAATGCCAAATCCAAACTACCAATGGCACACCCATAAATCCAAGATGCTCTGATCGGAATCCACGTGGAATCGGGAACAAAAAACTATAAACCTTTTCCTCCTCCAGGTTTCCAGTGTTCATTCAATCAATATCAAAAATCAGTCAAATGTATTTAGAAAGGCCTTTTCACATCAGCAGTAAGTTGTCACAAAATACTTTCACAACAGATACAAGCTTTGTCTCAGCGCGGCAACTCAGACCTGGCTGCCTCAGCAATGCTACAGTACTACTACTACTGTTCATGTTACGGTATCCAGGGAGATCACACTGCACCGCAAAGAGATGATGGACAGGTTCACTGGTGCCTGAAGGCCTGTGCAATGGGCCAATGTTTACAGTAAAGCTACTGTAATGTCCACTGTTGTTGTGTGAGTCACATTAGGAGACGGCGTATAACATCCTTTTCTTACAAGAGAATACCAGTGCTGTTTTACATAATAACACATAACAAGTCCCTCTCAATCTACATTGATGAATCTATAGTTAATTAACTTCCTGTTAGTTAGAAAATATTAATGGAATCCAACACAACTTGTGAATAATTTTAATGGAACACCAGTACTCCCTACAGAACAGGACTCCACCCTCAAGTTGACCACTAGAGAATGAGCATCAGTATGAACCAGTTCATCACACTCCTTTACACATTGTTGATTTAAAGCACCCAGATCATCATTGTGTAGCCACCAGCAAGTGAAGAACACAGCAAGAGAGATCCCAGGTGAATAACTAAAGCCAAACGACCTTCCTGTTGGTTCAGATCAATGTCAGCGTCCATGTCATTGTCTCCTGCTGGATCTCCTGGTACACAGACATGAAGCCTCAACGACCCCAAACAAGCTCAATTTACAGTATATCATATTGATTTAAAAAACAGCAGCAATAGTCAAAATGACTTACAGTAACCTAAGTAACCTGGCCTAGACCCCAAAGTGACTTACAGTAACCTGGCCTAGACACCAGTGTGTTACGGTAACCTGGCCTAGACCCCAGTGTGTTACGGTAACCTGGTCTAGACCCCAGTGTGTTACGGTAACCTGGCCTAGACCCCAGTGAGTTACGGTAACCTGGCTTAAACCCCAGTGTGTTACGGTAACCTGGCCTAGACCCCAGTGTGTTACGGTAACCTGGTCTAGACCCCAGTGTGTTACGGTAACCTGGTCTAGACCCCAGTGTGTTACGGTAACCTGGCCTAGACCCCAGTGTGTTACGGTAACCTGGTCTAGACCCCAGTGTGTTACGGTAACCTGGTCTAGACCCCAGTGTGTTACTGTAACCTGGCCTAGACCCCAGTGTGTTACGGTAACCTGGCCTAGACCCCAGTGTGTTACGGTAACCTGGTCTAGACCCCAGTGTGTTACGGTAAGCTGGTCTAGACCCCAGTGTGTTACGGTAACCTGGTCTAGACCCCAGTGTGTTACGGTAACCTGGTCTAGACCCCAGTGTGTTACGGTAACCTGGCCTAGACCCCATTGTTTATTTAACAAAAAGTGGTTTATTTAACAGAAACTCAGATTTGATGTGTGAAAAGATATGCGAACCCCTTCAGTCAACAGCTTGTGGCACCTCCATTAGCAGCGATACCTTGGACTAAACGTCTCCTATAGCCAGTAATCAGTCTCTGACGTCTGTTTCGAGGGATCTTTGCCCACTCCTCCTTACATTTAGTGAGGTTTGAGGGGTGTCTTGCATGAACTGCCCGCTTTCAGGTCCTGCCACAGCATCTCGATTGGATTTAGGTCAGGACCAATCCAAAACACAAATCTTATTTCTCCTGAGCCACTCTTTGCTTGAATGCTTTGGGTCGTTGTCTCGTTGGAAGACCCATTTTCGGCCCAGCTTTAGCTCCTTGACTGACGGCCTGACGTTCTGTTCAAGAATCTCCCGGTATACCTCAGAATTCATGGTTCCCTTAATGATGTGGAGTCGTCCAGGTCCAGAGGAGGAAAATCAGCCCCAGATCTTGACATTCCCTTCACCATGCTTGACTGTTGGGATAAGGTTATTTTGGTGGTAGGCAGCTTTGGGTTTTCACCAAACATAGTGGTGTTGATTGTGAACAAAAAGGTCAATTTCGGACTCATCGGTCCAGAGAATGGACTTCAAGAAACCTTCAGGTTTGTCCAGGTGGTCTCTGGCAAAGTTAAGACAAGACAGTTTGGTTCTGTTTTGACAGCAGAGGATTCTTCCTAGCAACCCTCCCGTGAACGGCATTTTGATTCAGTGTTCTTACTGTTGAAGCATGCACAGTTACCGGAGAGCAGTAAGGGACTCTGCAAATCTCTAGATGTTATGTTTGGGTTGGCTTTTACCTGATTTATTATTGTTCTTGAGGCTCTTGGGGATATTTTGGAAAGGCGCCCACTTCTAGGCCAAGTTGCTGTCATGTTAAATGCTCTCCGTTTGTAAATGATTTGCCTCACAGTGGACTGATGGAGCTCAAATATTTTTGAGATGATGTTATAGCCTTCCCCAGACTGATGTGCTCTCACTACCCTCGTCCTGATGTCCTCTCACTACCCTCGTCCTGATGTCCTCTCACTACCCTCGTCCTGATGGCCTCTCACTACCCTCGTCCTGATGTCCTCTGAGATCCCCAGACTGATGTGCTCTCACTACCCCTCGTCCTGATGGCCTCTCACTACCCTCGTCCTGATGTCCTCTGAGATCTCCTTTCCTCTCGGCATGGTGTGCTTTGCATTCACCTGGATGGGTAACACCAAACGGACCAGGTTTCTTAACTCTATTTATCAGAGTCCCGCCCAAACTCTTTCCTAACGATCTCTCCTTTGATTGGTTCATTTGGTAGCTAATTATTTACCCACCTGATTCTACTTACCTACTTCATTTAAACAACGCAACTTCGGTTCACTTATTTTTGCACCTGCACTAATTCCTTTTTAATGTTGTTTTTCTACTACACGCGTGATTTCCTCTACACCAACATATGGTATTGATAAATATAAACCTGTTATGTCAGATCAAAAAGACTGGTTCTGATTAAATGACGATTTCATGGTAAAAACTGAAAAAATCTGCACAAGGAGTTCACATACTTTCAAGCAGCACTGTATATCCCAATATAGAAACACATATAGAAACTGATAAGGACACGCTTGTGAAGCAGCACTGGATAGAAATCATGCTTGGTGAACAAACAGCTACAGGAACCAGTAGCTAGCTACCATTCAGACAACAGATCAGAAGGAGCAAGACTGACAGACAGACTGACAGACAGACTGACAGACAGACTGACAGACAGACTGACAGACAGACTGACAGACAGACTGACTGACAGACAGACAGACGGACAGACAGACAGACAGACAGGCGGGCGGGCGGGCGGACAGACTGACTGACTGACTGACTGACTGACTGACTGACGGACTGACAGACGGACGGACGGACAGAACGAAGTAGATGAAGAATAACAAGCAACGGAAGGTGAGAAGCTCTGAGTCATGTTCCCTATGGGCCCTGGTTAAATATAGTGCACTACGGAGGGAACAGGGTTCCCTATGGGCCCTGGTTAAATATAGTGCACTACGGAGGGAACAGGGTTCCCTATGGGCCCTGGTTAAATATAGTGCACTACGGAGGGAACAGGGTTCCCTATGGGCCCTGGTTAAATATAGTGCACTACGGAGGGAACAGGGTTCCCTATGGGCCCTGGTTAAATATAGTGCACTACGGAGGGAACAGGGTTCCCTATAGGCCCTGGTTAAATATAGTGCACTACGGAGGGAACAGGGTTCCCTATAGGCCCTGGTTAAATATAGTGCACTACGGAGGGAACAGGGTTCCCTATAGGCCCTGGTTAAATATAGTGCACTACGGAGGGAACAGGGTTCCCTATAGGCCCTGGTTAAATATAGTGCACTACGGAGGGAACAGGGTTCCCTATGGGCCCTGGTTAAATATAGTGCACTACGGAGGGAACAGGGTGCCATAGCGGCTGCAGTCAAGCAGAGCACTAACGTTAAGACACGTCGGGTCTGACGGACCGTCACTCACCTAAACTGTTGTTGTCCTTTATGCTTTTGTCCTGCAGCTGATCTAACCCAACTGGAAACAACAACAACTTCAATTATTCTTTGAGGACATGGACTGGAGTGACCCAAGGTCAACTTAAATTGTTATTTGAGGACATGGACTGGAGTGACCCAAGGTCAACTTAAATTGTTATTTGAGGACATGGACTGAAGTGACCCAAGGTCAACTTAAATTGTTCTTTGAGGACATGGACTGGAGTGACCGAAGGTCAACTTAAATTACTACTACTGTTCAAAGGTGTGTGTGTGTCTCTGTTGCTAACCTTGCAGGGCAGTGAGGCGCTCGTTAGTGAAGTCGTTATCAGCCTGCAGGGCCTCAATACGAGCCTGTAGAGTCTGTTCCTTCTCCTCCATCTCCTCAATGCAAAGCTGCAGCTCCTTCTTCTCCAGCTGACCCTTCTGAGTCAGCTCCTCCTGGCGGCCCTCTGCCAGCTACACACAGGAACATTTGGTCATGTTAAAGCCATGTTAAAGGCATGTTAAAGCCATGTTAAAGCCATGTTAAAGCCATGTTAAAGCCATGTTAAAGCCATGTTAAAGGGTGTTCTGGAGAATCTGATGTGTGTGCTGGTGCTCAGACATTAGATAGAAATGTCACTGATCTTCAAGCCTCTACAATAAAGTGACTGAGTTTCTTCCTCCTCTTCAACCTGTGTCCCCCCCCCTCTCTCCTCTCCTACCTGTGTCCCCCCCCCCCCCTCCTCTCCTACCTGTCCCCCCCCCCCCCCCTCCTCTTCAACCTGTGGTCCCCCCCCTCTCTCCTCTCCTACCTGTCCTCCCCTCTCTCCTCTCCTACCTGTCCCCCCCCTCTCTCCTCTCCTACCTGTCCCCCCCCTCCTCTTCAACCTGTGTCCCCCCCCCTCTCTCCTCTCCTACCTGTGTCCCCCCCCTCTCTCCTCTCCTACCTGTCCCCCCCCCCTCTCCTCTCCTACCTGTCCCCCCCCCCTCTCCTCTCCTACCTGTCCCCCCCTTTCTCCTCTCCTACCCGTGTCCCCCCCTCTCTCCTCTCCTACCTGTGGTCCCCCCCCCTCTCCTCTCCTACCTGTCCCCCCCCCCTCTCCTCTCCTACCTGTGTCCCCCCCTCTCTCCTCTCCTACCCGTGTCCCCCCCTCTCTCCTCTCCTACCTGTGTCCCCCCTCCCTCTCCTCTCCTACCTGTGTCCCCCCCTCTCTCCTCTCCTACCCGTGTCCCCCCCTCTCTCCTCTCCTACCTGTGTCCCCCTCCCTCTCTCCTCTCCTACCTGTGTCCCCCCCCCCCTCTCTCCTCTCCTACCTGTGTCCCCCCCCCTCTCTCCTCTCCTACCTGTGTCCCCCCCTCTCTCCTCTCCTACCTGTGTCCCCCTCCCTCTCTCCTCTCCTACCTGTGTCCCCCCCTCTCCTCTTCAACCTGTGTCCCCCCCTCTCTCCTCTCCTACCTGTGCCCCCCCCCTCTCCTATCCAACCTGTGCCCCCTCCCCTCCCCCAACCTGTGTCTCCACCCCCCTCACCAACCACGTTCACCTACTGTACCTTGATCTTGTCTGTGAGGTCCTTGATCTCGTTGATGGCCCCGTTGTACTTATTAGCCAGTTCTCTGAACTCTTCCTGGTTCCTCTCATTCATCTCCTTCAGATGGGTACACTCATCCTCCGTGTTACTCAGAGATCTCTGGAATAACAACAGGTGAGATGACAACACATTCATTCATTCATCGTCCACACACACACACTTCACCCAGCCCCGGGTCTCACCTCGACCTCTGACAGCTTCCTGACCACCTCGATCTTCTCCTGCAGGACCCTCCTCAGGGACTCTTTGGCCGTGGTCTCATAGTTGTGTTTGTCTTCCTGCAGGGCTGCCAGCTCGTTACGCATCCCATCCTCCGTTTGGTTCTTGAGAGGGGGAGGGGGAGGTTAGCGAAATAGAGAGAGGGGTGGGGTGGGACTGTCTATGGGGTTGTCTCTGGTGCTTTGACTAATACACAGTCATAGGGTCAGGAGTTTTTTATGGCCATGTAAAGTGCCCATCAGTTCCCATGGTCAGGAAAGACTATTAACCCAAATACAGGAAGAAAAAAAACCAATTAGAATGTCAATAGATATATACAGTGAGCTCCAACAGTATTGGGACAGGGACACATTGGTTGTTTTGGCTCTGAACTCCAGCACTTTGGATTGGAAATGATACAATGACTATGAGGTTAAAGTGCAGACTGTCAGCTTTAATTAGAGGGTACTTTCATCCATATCGAGTGAACCGTTTAGAAATTACTCCCCATTTTAGAGGACCAAAAGTATTGGGACAAGTTAACCTACAGTACCAGTTAAATGTTTGGACACACCTAGAGAATGCCAAGAGTGTGCAAAGCTGTCATCAAGGCAAAGGGTGGCTATTTGAAGAATCTCAAATATAAAATATATTTTTTGGTTACTACATGATTCCATGTGTGTTATTTCATAGTTCTGATGTCTTCGCTATTATTCTAGGGCGGCAGGTAGCTTAGTGGGTAAGAGCGTTGTGCCAGTAACCGAAAGGTCGCTGGTTCTAATCCCCGAGCTGACTAGGTGAAAAATCTGTCGATGTGCCCTTAAGCAAGGCACTTAACCCCAATTGCTCATGTAAGTCGCTCTGGATAAGAGCGTCTGCTAAATGACTAAAAATGTAAAAAAATGTAATGTAGAAAATAGTACAAAATAAAGAAAAACCCTTGAATGAGTAGGTGTGTCCAAACTTTTGACTGGTACTGTATATAGTATCTATAATGGTAGTGTATATGTGTATTAAAGTAGTAAAAAGCGTAGTATTTGGTCTCATATTCCGGGCATTCAATGACTACATCAAGCTTGTGACGCTACAATTTTGTTTTGGTTGTTTCAGATTATTTTGTGCCCAATAGAAATGAATGGTAAATAAATTAGACGCACATATATCATACCCCCCAAGACATGCTAACTTCCCCTGTTATTGTAATGGCGAGAGGTTAGCATGTCTTGGGGGTATGATATAAAATGCTAACTTCCCCTGTTATTGTAATGGTGAGAGGTTAGCATGTCTTGGGGGTATGATATAAAATGCTAACTTCCCCTGTTATTGTAATGGTGAGAGGTTAGCATGTCTTGGGGGTATGATATAAAATGCTAACCTCCCCTGTTATTGTAATGGTGAGAGGTTAGCATGTCTTGGGGGTATGATATAAAATGCTAACTTCCCCTGTTATTGTAATGGTGAGAGGTTAGCATGTCTTGGGGGTATGATACTTGTGCGAGTAACTTATTTACCATTCATTTCTATTGGGCAAAAAACAAACAGCAAATGCATCCAACAAGTGCGTAGATTCACAAGCTTGATGTAGTCGTTGCCTGCTGTGAATATGGGACCAAATACTAAACTTTAGACTACTTTAATACGCATATAAGTGAACTTGTCCCAATACTTTTGGTCCTCTTAAAAATGGGGGGGACTATGTACAAAAAGTGCTGTAATTTTTTAACTGTTTACCCAATATGGATGAAAATACCCTCAAATTAAAGCTGACTGTCTGCACTTTAACCTCATAATCACTGTATCATTTCAAATCCAAAAGGGCCGGAGCCAAAAACAACAACACAATGGTGAATGTCACAGTACATTTGGAGCTCACTGTAACTAGGTGACTCACTTTAGGTATTTATCATTTAAAGACGCAAATCGCTCCGCCATTTCCTGGTTGCTAAAAATTGTAAATAGTTCGCCTAATTTCGGTTTATGTGACAAAACAAGCAGGTATCGTGTAGAGAATCGTTGTACCCATCTAAACCGCTGTGAAATATATTTTCCATGACCAAAAATATTGTATTTTCAGCCGTTTGAAGCTGCTGTACAAAAACCGAAAGTAAAAGACGCAAATAATAAAAAAATTAACGGGAAGCAGAGAAATAGATAATGTAGAGCAGATCTACCGCTTCTTAGACTTGCTTTCAATAAGAATGACAGATCTATAACACATTTCTATGTGAATCTGGTCAGGTCGCCCAAAAGGTTACATATTGTAGCTTTAAATGTTCTTACTTTAGAGTAGGTATTTACACTGAACAAAAATATAAAACGCAACAATTTCAAAGATTTTACTGAGTTACGGTTCATATAAGGAAATCAGTCAATTGAAATAAAATTCATTAGGCCCTAATCTATGGATTTCACATGACTGGGAATACAGATATGCATCTGTTGGTTACAGATACCGTAAAAGAAAGGTAGGGTTGTGGATCAGAAAACCAGTCAGTATCTGGTGTGACCAGTATTTGCCTCATGCGGCGCGACACATCTCCTTCGCATAGAGTTGATCAGGCGGTTGATTGTGGCCTGTGGAATGTTGTCCCATTCAAACATGCTCAATGGGTGACAGGTCTGGTGAGTATGCAGGCCATGGAATAACTGGGACATTTTCAGCATCCAGGAATTGTGTACAGATCCTTGCGACATGGGGCCTGTGAATTATCATGCTGAATCATGAGGTGATGGCGGCAGATGAACGGCACGACAACGGGCCTCAGGATCTCGTCACGGTATCGCTGCGCCTTCAAATTGCCATCGATAAAATGCAATTGTGTTCGTTGTCCGTAGCTTATGCCTGCCCATACCATAACCCCACCATGGGGCACTCTGTTCACAACCTGGACATCAGCAAACCGCTCGCCCACATCTGCCATCTGCCCAGTACAGTTGAAAACGGGATTCATCTGTTAAGAGCACACTTCTCTAGCGTGCCAGTGGCCATCGACGCCGAACTGCAGTCAGGTCAAGACCCTGGTGAGGACGACGAGAACGCAGATGAGCTTCCCTGAAACGGTTTCTGACAGTTTGTGCAAAAATTATTTGGTTGAGCAAACCCACAGTTCCATCAGCTGTCCAGGTGGCTGGTCTCAGACGATCCCGCAGATGAAGAAGCCGGATGTGGCGGTCCTGGCCTGGCGTAGTTACACGAGGTCTGCGGTTGTGAGGCCGGTTGGACGTTCTGCCAAATTCTCTAAAACGACGTTGGAGGAGGCTTATGGTAGAGAAATTAACATTCAATTCTCTGGCAACAGCTCTGGTGGATATTCCTGCAGTCAGCATGCCAACTGCACACTCCCTCAAAACTGTAGACATCTGTGGCATTCTGTTGTGTGACAAAACTGCACATTTTAGAGTGGCCTTTTCTTGTCCCCAGCACAAGGTGCACCTGTGTAATGATCATGCTGTTTAATCAGCTTCTTGATATGCCACACCTGTCAGGTGGATGGATTATCTTGGCAAAATGAGAAAATGCTCACTAACAGGGATGTATACAAATTTGTGCACAACATGAGAGAAATAAGCTTTTTGTTCGTATGGAACATTTCTGGGATCTTTTATTTCAGCTCATGAAACATGGGACCAACACTTTACACGTTGCACTTATATTTTTGTTCAGTGTGTCATTTAAATGATCTCACTTTAGGCATTTATCATTTAAATGATCTCACTTTAGGCATTTATCATTTAAATGATCTCACTTTAGGCATTTATCATTTAAATGATCTCACTTTAGGCATTTATCATTTAAATGATCTCACTTTAGGCATTTATCATTTAAATGATCTCACTTTAGGCATTTATCATTTAAATGATCTCACTTTAGGCATTTATCATTTAAATGATCTCACTTTAGGCATTTATCATTTAAATGATCTCACTTTAGGCATTTATCATTTAAATGATCTTACTTTAGGCATTTATCATTTAAATGATCTCACTTTAGGCATTTATCATTTAAATGATCTCACTTTAGGCATGTATCATTTAAATGATCTCACTTTAGGCATTTATCATTTAAATGATCTTACTTTAGGCATTTATCATTTAAATGATCTTACTTTAGGCATTTATCATTTAAATGATCTCACTTTAGGCATTTATCATTTAAATGATCTTACTTTAGGCATTTATCATTTAAATGATCTCACTTTAGGCATTTATCATTTAAATGATCTTACTTTAGGCATTTATCATTTAAATGATCTTACTTTAGAGTAGGTCTGTAGCTGGTTGCCCATCACCTCTAGTCTGGAGAGAAGCCGGTCCTCATCGATCAGAGCCTAGCAGAGAGAGACAGAGAGAATTCAGGCTGTAACAACAAAATGTGGAAAAAGTTGAGCGGTGTGAATAATTTCTGAAGGCCCTGTAGCAGTTAGTCAGTATAAGCCATTACCCATTATATGGAGGGAGTGTTGTAGATTGAGTGGTTCTGAAGGTTTATCACAGGGCTGGTCTAGTGGTAATGACCCTGGTTCTGAAGGTTTAACACAGGGCTGGTCTAGTGGTAATGACCCTGGTTCTGAAGGTTTAACACAGGGCTGGTCTAGTGGTAATGACCCTGGTTCTGAAGGTTTAACACAGGGCTGGTCTAGTGGTAATGACCCTGGTTCTGAAGGTTTATCACAGGGCTGGTCTAGTGGTAATGACCCTGGTTCTGAAGGTTTAACACAGGGCTGGTCTAGTGGTAATGACCCTGGTTCTGAAGGTTTAACACAGGGCTGGTCTAGTGGTAATGACCCTGGTTCTGAAGGTTTAACACAGGGCTGGTCTAGTGGTAATGACCCTGGTTCTGAAGGTTTAACACAGGGCTGGTCTAGTGGTAATGACCCTGGTTCTGAAGGTTTAACACAGGGCTGGTCTAGTGGTAATGACCCTGGTTCTGAAGGTTTAAAACAGGGCTGGTCTAGTGGTAATGACCCTGGTTCTGAAGGTTTAACACAGGGCTGGTCTAGTGGTAATGACCCTGGTTCTGAAGGTTTAACACAGGGCTGGTCTAGTGGTAATGACCCTGGTTCTGAAGGTTTAACACAGGGCTGGTCTAGTGGTAATGACCCTGGTTCTGAAGGTTTAACACAGGGCTGGTCTAGTGGTAATGACCCTGGTTCTGAAGGTTTAACACAGGGCTGGTCTAGTGGTAATGACCCCGGTTCTGAAGGATTAAAACAGGGCTGGTCTAGTGGTAATGACCCTGGTTCTGAAGGTTTAACACAGGGCTGGTCTAGTGGTAATGACCCTGGTTCTGAAGGTTTAAAACAGGGCTGGTCTAGTGGTAATGACCCTGGTTCTGAAGGATTAAAACAGGGCTGGTCTAGTGGTAATGACCCTGGTTCTGAAGGTTTAACACAGGGCTGGTCTAGTGGTAATGACCCTGGTTCTGAAGGTTTAACACAGGGCTGGTCTAGTGGTAATGACCCTGGACCACATATTACATTTTAACCTTTTATCTGGCAATAAAACTTCAAAATACTTGAGGATTGTGGAATTGTGTTTCGGTACCTGCCAGCTGCTCTCTGAAGCCTCCTGTGTGGTGGTCAGTAGGGTTAGGGTGGTAGTGTGCACTAGGTAGTGTATAGTGTATCTCTACCTGCCAGCTGCTCTCTGAAGCCTCCTGTGTGGTGGTCAGTAGGGTTAGGGTGGTAGTGTGCACTAGGTAGTGTATAGTGTATCTCTACCTGCCAGCTGCTCTCTGAAGCCTCCTGTGTGGTGGTTAGTAGGGTTAGGGTGGTAGTGTGCACTAGGTAGTGTATAGTGTATCTCTACCTGCCAGCTGCTCTCTGAAGCCTCCTGTGTGGTGGTCAGTAGGGTTAGGGTGGTAGTGTGCACTAGGTAGTGTATAGTGTATCTCTACCTGCCAGCTGCTCTCTGAAGCCTCCTGTGTGGTGGTCAGTAGGGTAAGGGTGGTAGTGTGCACTAGGTAGTGTATAGTGTATCTCTACCTGCCAGCTGCTCTCTGAAGCCTCCTGTGTGGTGGTCAGCAGGGTTAGGGTGGTAGTGTGCACTAGGTAGTGTATAGTGTATCTCTACCTGCCAGCTGCTCTCTGAAGCCTCCTGTGTGGTGGTCAGTAGGGTTAGGGTGGTAGTGTGCACTAGGTAGTGTATAGTGTATCTCTACCTGCCAGCTGCTCTCTGAAGCCTCCTGTGTGGTGGTCAGTAGGGTTAGGGTGGTAGTGTGCACTAGGTAGTGTATAGTGTATCTCTACCTGCCAGCTGCTCTCTGAAGCCTCCTGTGTGGTGGTCAGTAGGGTTAGGGTGGTAGTGTGCACTAGGTAGTGTATAGTGTATCTCTACCTGCCAGCTGCTCTCTGAAGCCTCCTGTGTGGTGGTTCAGCAGGGTTAGGGTGGTAGTGTGCACTAGGTAGTGTATAGTGTATCTCTACCTGCCAGCTGCTCTCTGAAGCCTCCTGTGTGGTGGTCAGTAGGGTTAGGGTGGTAGTGTGCACTAGGTAGTGTATAGTGTATCTCTACCTGCCAGCTGCTCTCTGAAGCCTCCTGTGTGGTGGTTAGTAGGGTTAGGGTGGGGAGTGTGCACTAGGTAGTGTATAGTTGGGGATCTCTACCCGCCAGCTGCCTCTTGAAGCCTTTCCCGGTGGGGGGTTTAGTGGGTTAGGGTGGGGGGGTGTGCATAGGTTTGTGTTATCTTTACCTGCCCGCTGTCTCTGAAACCTCCTGGTGGGGGTAGGAGGGTTAGGGTGGTTGTGTTTTCATAGGTAGGTATTTGTGTATTCTACCGCCAAATGCTCTCTGAAGCCTCCCCGTGTGGTGGTCAGTAGGGGTTTGGGTGGGGAGGTGCACTAGGGAGTGTATAGTGTATCTCTACCGCCAGTGCCTCCCGAAGCCCCTGTTTTGGTGGGGGCAGCAGGGTTGGAAACGTTGCCAACTTCGGGCCCCAAAATTTGCTCCCTTTTAGGGTTGGGGGGGGGGAAAGAGGGGGGAGGGGGAGGGGGGGGGAGAGGGAGAGGGGGGGGAGGGGGGGGAGGAGGGGGGGGGGATGGGGGGGGGGAGGAGGGGGGGGAAGGGGGGGGGAGGGGGGGGAGAGGGCAGGGGGGGAGGGAAAGGGGGGGGGGGGAAGGAGGGAAAGGGGGGAAGGGGGGGAGGAGGGGGGGGGAGAGGGGGAGGGGGGAGGGGGGGAAGGGGAAAAGGGGGGAGGAGGGGGAGGGGGGGAAAGGGGGGGGAGAGGGGGGGGGGGGGGAGGGGAGGGGGGGAGGGGAGAGGGGGGAAGGGGAGGGGGGGGGGGGGAGAGGGGAGGGGGTGGGGGGAAAGGGGGGAGAGGGGGAAAAGGGGGGGAGGAAAGGGGAGAAAGGGGGGGGGGAGGAGAAAGGGGGGAGGGAGAGGAGGGGAGGAGAGGGAGGGGAAAAGGGGGGAGGGGAAAGGGGGAGGGAGGGGGGAGGGAGGAGGGGGAGGGGAGGGAGGGAGGAAGAGGGGGGAGGGGGGAGAAGGGGGGAAAGGGGGAGGGGGGGAGAAAGGGGGGGGAGGGGGGAAACGGGGAAGGGGGGAGGAGGGGGAGGGGGGGGGGGAGGGAGGGGAGCCGGGAGAGGGGGGGGGAGAAGGGGGAGAGGGGGGGAGGGGGAGAGCGGGGGAGGGGGGGAGGGACCGGGGGGGGAGGGAGGGAGGAGGGGGGGGAGAGGGGAGGGAGGGAGGGCGGGAGGGGAGGGAGGGAGCGGGGGAGAGGGGGGGGGGGAGGGGGGGGAGGGAGGGGGAGAGGAGAGGGAGGGAGGGGGCCCGGGGGAGAGGGAGGGAGGGGGGGGAAGGGGGAGGGGGGGAGAGGGGGGGAGAGGGGGGAAAAGGGGAGGAGGAGGGGGGGAGGGGGGAGGAGAGGGGGAGAGGGAGGGAGGGGGAGAGGGGGGGAGGGGAGGGAAGGGGGGAGAGGGAGGGGGGGGAGAGAAAGGGGGGGGAGAGGGGGAGAGGAGGGAGGGAGAGAGGGGGGGAGGGAGGGGGAGAGGAGAGGAGGAGAGAGAGGGAGGGAGAGGGGAGAGGAGGGAGGAGAGGAGGGACGAGAGAGAGGGAGGAGGGAGGGAGAGAGGGAGGAGAGGGGAGGGTAGGTAGAGAAAATGACATTCATCAGCATTCAGCATAATCAGTTGAAAGCAGAGCTGATGCATAAGCAGTATATATTTTCAGTCATCCATTTATCCATTTTGTGAGGGATGGTAGAAGAGGGTAAAACTGCAGTACACCAATAACAGATGAGAGAGAAAGCACACATCTTCAAAGTCCCATATAATTTGACCAGTCAAGTCAGCAGTTCCACAGACTACGAAGCCATGCACCCAGCAGTAGTAAGAGCGTAGTAGCGCTCCCTAGCCAGTAGATGTCAGCGTTGTTCCATAAATACCTGCAGATACTGGGAGAGCTGGAAGAGTTCCTGAGAGTACATAGTGGGGGTGTTGGCTGCAACCTGCAGGAGGGGAGGAGAGACGCAGACCAGGACATCAGGTTAGACAGGAACACTGGTAACACACACACACACCTCAGTCAACATGGCTTACCCTCAGGTATCTAACTACCTAGGCTCATCTGCTGGCAAAGGCTGAGTTCACTCACAGAGTCAAAATAACACCAAGTGATGTTTGATGTATCGTCTAATATGATTAATAGTTGGGCCCTGAGAAGTTTCCTGACTATCTGGACGTCACTGTTCTAGCCAATACATCTATTGCTGTGCCTAACACGTGGAAGATTATGGAAGGGTCCAAAAAACTCAGTGTGAGTCACGAGTCAGCGTCTCAGTAGAAATAGTCAGATGATGCAGTCAGATATACCCTAGCCTGGGATCAGACCATCAGATATACCCTAGCCTGGGATCAGACCATCAGATATACCCTAGCCTGGGATCAGACCATCAGATATACCCTAGCCTGGGATCAGACCATCAGATATAGGGCTGTGCTGCTCCTTCACTGGGCCCTAAAATAAGCCTGTTACTCTGGTCAGGCAGAGAAAGGAGAGGGGCTCAGTGTTTAGGTCAGGAACAGGAGGAGAGGAGAGTTTGGTGTTTAGGGCCGGAGGGAGAGGAGGGTTTGGTGTTTAGGGCCGGAGGGAGATGAGGGTTTGGTGTTTAGGGCCGGAGGGAGAGGAGGGTTTGGTGTTTAGGGCCGGAAGGAGAGTATGGTTTGGTGTTTAGGGCAGGAAGGAGAGGAGGGTTTGGTGTTTAGGGCAGGAAGGTGAGGAGAATATAATATAATAATATGCCATTTAGCAGACGCTTTTATCCAAAGCGACTTACAGTCATGTGTGCATACATTTTTACGTATGGGTGGTCCCGGGGATCGAACCCACTACCCTGGCGTTACAAGCGCCATGCTCTACCAATTGAGCTACCAATTGAGCTACAATATGGTTTGGTGTTTAGCCCAGGGCAGGCAGGGAGAGAGAGGAGAATATCAGTAATTCAATTTGCACTGTGCTCTATCTAATAAGATTAGGAGTCTTAAACAAGGAGCCTGGCTGAGGCACTTCCCTCTCAATCTACAGAGAAAGACACCACTGTATTGGCTTGGGCTTGATATGCAGTCAGACCCTGTGTACAGTAGAGCTGCTGATGTCGTAGACGTGTTGAATTGGCCGTTGGGTAGTGTTGCATGGAATACCGAAACTTCTGTACTTTACCAATAGGGGGGAAAAAACGGTTCGGTACTACAATTTTTCTTACATTCTGTACTTCTGTCAAATGTGTCTCACGTATTTGAGAGGATCAAGTCTGTATCAGCCCCTTACTAGAGCTGTCTGGCTGCATTGTTAGCTTCATACTCATCATGTTGCACAGAAGTTAACACACTTGAATAATGTAACACGGCATGTAGAAATGTTGAAAATGTTAATTACTGTTCGCAAAACAATGTCCATACAGGCAAGAACACTTAAAATTTGGGCTGTCTCCAACAAAAAATTTTTTTTGTGTCGACCGAAAATCGATGTATTTCAATAAAATCAACTATATGCTTGTCTGATGCTTTAAGCGAATTGTTTGATGAATTAAGACAAATGACTCAAGAGGGAGCCAGAAATCAAGATATCCAGAAGAAAGAAAAACATATGAACCATCCCCCTCCTACTGTCTTTCTACTCTCCTGAAGATGCCGGTAATAGGCTACGAGGAGTCTGCAACCTTTCTGATGTGGAATCCCAATTTAATCCTGATCCTGATCTGCGTGCCAGTTATTGTTTTCACATGCACATTTGACGAACAGTTTCATTTAAATTTATAATAACGTCTTCGCATCTCAAAATCATTGTCGTGTGGTTAATCAAAGTAAAAAAACGTTGCAGCCTGCGGGTAGAAAATATCCTGATAAAAATCAATATCCTATAAATCGCATTGGCTATGCATGGCCTGTCTGCAACGAACTTGAAACATTGTATCAACTATCAACTTTGGTACAGCCCTCGCATTAGCAAAGTCACAACATGGTATAAAATATTCTGGGCCCTCAGAGTTACTCTCAGCAGTAGGGTATTGAGAAATAATAATCAGGCCCATTTTATGTTTTCACTGGATCCGAGCATTTTTCCCTTTCACGCTGAGTGGTTATCAAAAGGGAGAGCTGGAAAGATATTTCAAAAAGGCTACGTTAAGGAAATATTGTCATTCTCAATGGATGCAAAAACGGACTTTGCTTGCTGTTTGAGGTGAAGAAAACATTGCTCTGAGAAGCTCCACAGCTCATTAGTGGTGGTGCGTTAAGCCAATCAGAAATACTATCAGATCCCCAAATGGGCACATTTAAGCCTATATTTATGCCTAAGGCCAGGTAGCCTATAGACCTACACTACATGACCAAAGGTATGCGGACACCTGCTTGGCAAACATCTCATTCCAAAATCATGGGCATTAATGCGGAGTTGGGTTCCCCCCTTTGCTGCTACAACAGCATCCACTCTTCTGGGAAGGTTTCCCGCTAGATGTTGGAACATTGCTGAGGGGACTTGCTTCCATTCAGTGTTGCAACCGAGGACAGATTATTTTTATGCACTACGTGCTTCAGCACTCGGCAGTTCGGTTCTGTGAGCTTGTGTGGCCGACCACTTCATGGCTGAGCCACTGTCTCGCTTAGACGTTTCCGCTTCACAATATCAGCACTTGTAGTTGACGGGGGTCTGGGGAGTTTCCTGGCCATGGACCCAAAATTTCGATGTTTTGTTCCCCGAGCCACTTAGTTATCACTTTTGCTGGAAAAGGCATTGGTCATCACCAAACTGTTCTTGGATGGTTGGGAGAAGTTGCTCTCGGAGGATGTGTTGGTACCATTCTTTATTCATGGCTGTGTTCTTAGGCAAAATTGTGAGTGAGCCCACTCCCTTGGCTGAGAAGCAACCCCACACATGAATGGTCTCAGGATGCTTTACTGTTGGCATGACACAGGACTGATGGTAGCGCTCACCTTGTCTTCTCCGGACAAGGTGTTTTCCGGATGCCCCAAACAATCGGAAAGGGGATTCTTCAGAGAAAATGACTTTACCCCAGTCCTCAGCAGTCCAATCCCTGTACCTTTTGCAGAATATCAGTCTGTCCCTGATGTTCTTCCTGGAGAGAAGTGGCTTCCTCGCTGCCCTTCTTGAAACCAGGCCATCCTCCAAAAGACTTCGCTTCACTGTGCGTGCAGATGCACTCACACCTGCCTGCTGCCATTTCTGAGCAAGCTCTGCACTGGTGGTGCCCCGATCCCGCAGCTGAATCAACTTTAGGAGACGGTCCTGGCGCTTACTGGACTTTCTTGGGCACCCTGACGCCTTCTTCACAACAATTGAACCTCTCTCCTTGAAGTTCTTGATGATCCGATAAATGGGTAATTTAG